CCAACTTGCCCTCGTATCTTTTTTATTGGGCATTCGAATTGGTTTATAATTTTTTCCCTGTCATGCCCAACCCGTCCTCTCCCCGGAAATCACTCGTTCATAAGCCTGCGGGGCGTGCTTCACACTTTCCCCAGACGACCCCACGACACAAACCTACCAAAATGTCTTCGTAGTTGGCGGCGTTTGTCATTGATCGGTTTCTGCTATACAACTGCGATGTTTTTGAAATCTGAAAGCACACGATGTTATGTAGGAATTCGCAAACAAAGTCCTTATTTAACTAACCGATGAAGGTTAATTTTTAAAAACCATGAACTGAACATTATGGGCTTTTTATTAAAAGGAATAAAATGCATGCACTTTATGAGTTTGATTTGCAAGAGAAGTAGGTGAGATAGTCGATTTTAAGTGTTTTTTAAGCAGAACCAAAAACGGCCGATTGAACGTAGCCGTAAAAACCTCGGTAAAGGTCACCTTCGCGTCCCATTTTACCGTCCGCAAACTCAATGTTAGACGGAAACGTCTTGACCCATCCGTTGGCGACACCAGGATTCGGCTCTGTTGGGTATGCCTCTTCGCCATACATATTGACCTCGCCATAGGCATCTGGTAAAACCTCCTCCTCCTCTGGTTCATTCTCGCCATCGTCTTTACCCTTGCAGCATACTATGCAAATCAGCATGATAAACGTGATCAGATGTAGACCACCGACGGCCAAAAGTGCATAGAATGATAGTGGCATAAATTCTTTCTGAAATATTAAAATAAGTGCACTTTATCTTTTATCGATGGAATAATTATAATGAAAAAATAGCCAGGAAAAGTTCTCAATAAATGCTGAGCGAAAAAGATAAATTTGCAAACGAACTAAGTTTTGTGAGTATGCAATAGTACAATTGGATAAATGGATGTTATGCACCTAGACACATTTGCTCTTGTGAACCAATCGAAACAACTCATGCTTGCCGTAAGGCACTTCTTACCGTCGAAAATTTAAACTCTATTTGCTTGACGTCCGTATTATACGTTTTCAGGAAGTAAGCCGTTACACCGACCAGCGCAGCTGTATAACATCGTTTTAATGAAAAGAAGCAATAAATTAAATAGCGTTCATATTTATGGGATAGTACACCACTCTAAAACATATGACACATTTTCAAAAACAAGTAAATCTAGCCCCCTCAAAATAAATAGTTATATTTAAAACTTACAACACGTTTATGTACCAGAGCGACTTGAGGCTGCTTGTCGATGTAAACTATCTCGTATATGCCGCAGGAAAACTTGATTTGCAGCTTATTTTCCTGTACGCGCTCATACGCTTAGCTTTTCAGAAAATTAAAGTAAACCGTTCACATTTCCGAAGCTGACAAGTTTAACTTCGGATGATACACTTTTGCATTTGACAGTAAAAAATGACTTAGGCCGCAGAATGGCAAATCGTTGGACTAAATGCACCCAATAAATTGATATAAAACCTAAGGCAGTCCTACGAAACACACGAAAACTAATATAAAAGTGTTCCCAGCAAATGTTCCTTTAAGTGCAATGATTGTTACTTACCGCTGAGTAGATTCAGTACAATGCCAAATATGACAAATTTTTTGAAAAACTTTGGGAAACGTGATGAAGCGCGACACAGTTTGCACAGGATAACCAGCGATCCAATGAACCAAATGATTACGACACCCAACACCACTATCGAAAGGTACGTTACTAAAATATACCAGAAAAGTTAATTTGCAGGAACAAACACAATATCACAGTTACGTAATCACAGCGCTAGTTAATGTCTGATCTTAGAAAATGGATAAAGATTCAAAAAACAAGAGGGTGCCTAAAAATGACAGAAATCTAATTAATACATATTCGTTTTTCACAAAACTAGTTAAGGTAGAGAAACAATCTGTACTTATCTGATCCTAGACTCAATTCTTATATATGCGTCTGTTTGTGACGGAGCGCGCCGAGGATGCCCTCATTGCCTTCTCTTTCGGATGTACTAATGACTTCGGGAAATTCGTTAGTATTGTGGACCTGAAACTATAATTCTGTCTAAGGACTTCACTTGGCATTATTAGTGGTTATTATTAAATGTGTGATTAAAACGAGCGTGTAGTAATTAAAATTTGACGGCGACTTTCAACATTATGTAATGAACTTCATTTATGAGCCCTTCGACCTTTGTTTTGGACAAGTCAAGCCAATTTATAAACGGAAAGGTTTGCTTGCAAATGCACTTCGTCAGCTGTCATTTGATTATTATTCAAGGTTTGGCGTCATCGACAAACATGGAGAATGGCAATCTAGATCGCTGACAAAAAGTTTTTACCTAAATAATTAACAGAGTAGGAACAATGGAGCTACGTTGAGGAACACCACTTTTAACCTCAATCTCTGCTGATTGCCGATGGTCGACATGGACAGTTTGAGAAGCTAATCCTTTCTTCATATGCGATTTGGTCTATACAGATGTCGTTGGTTAGGCACGCCACTCAAGGCCTTCTGGAAGTCAATATAGATCGTATACACTGTAGGCATTCACACAAGATCTGCGTCTAGGAAAATCATACTGTAAACAGGAAAGGAGATGCTTTTGATCTAGGAACTAAATTTGCTGTCGTTTAATTATTTTTTCGTGCCTTTGTGGAAACTCTAAGCAAGGGTGACTGGTCTTGAGTTGGTTAAGGCGACCCGATTCTCAAGCAGGGTTCTAATCAGCCGGTATAAAAAGCGTATAGGGTAGTTTTGCTTTCTCACTCCTGAGCTACATCTACGCCTTTGACGGTACCTCATCGGAATCATGCAAGTTCGATATCTTAATCTCCGAATACTACTTCAGAACTGTCTCTTTGGCAAACTGAACAGGCCGAAAAGTTGTGTCTCTTCAAAGTCAACCTATGGGCAGTGAAATCAATTTTACCGAATGAAGGAGAAAGTTCGCGATCCAGCTGTTTTAATGGACAAGGAAGAAGACGTATCAAGTACCAGATCAATTGATTTATTATCCTGAGGTTTCGAACTCTTACAGGAGTCCATCTTCAGAGATGAGAAGTAGCCACCAAAAAAGAAGGCTATTATAGTGGTCATAGGCCAATTAAATGTCAGAGATCATCAGGTTGTGAAGGCTTTAAAAACAGTAATCAAAAAGGGTGGTATGGGGGGAGGGTAATTAGCTGTCAGTTGAGTTGGGGAGCTATTATAGTGGTGTACACTAATTAGCTGTCAGTGTAGCAGGGGGTCATGAACAGCAATTAATGAGGCACCTTGGCACCTGGTAGACGGTCCTGGCAACCCTGCCTCCTCTTCCGACCGGTTTGTTGTGGAGTCCTCTTCGTTTGCCATTCCTACGTTCGCTTTGGCCTTGTCCCGTCTTTTTTCCACATAATGGCGCAAGACTTTTTAGGCCGCGGGCAGGTCTATATTCCCGTTGACAGAGTTGGCATCTGAATACCATGCCTCAAGCGTCAGGCTTTCGGCTTTTAAGGTTCCTCGGCCTACGATGGTCGCTCCTTGGAGATCGAAGTCTCTGCGACATGTGCTACAATT